GAGCATATTTACAAATGCTATGAAAAAAAAAATCTTCCTTCACTTATAAATGACAGGATCCTGGATAACTGACCCCTGACAGCATCTAAAGCTCGCGAGACATTTTTGTCTTGTCTCATTCAATGCATGTGTACTGAGCATCTACTCTAAACCAACTGTGCTGAGTAAGCTAAGGATATGACAGGGCCCCAGCTTTCTAGGAGCTAATAGGCTGATGAGAAAAGGCAAGAACATTTGCAGAAAGAAAAAATTAGAAGGGCATATGATTTAATGATTGAATTGTGGATAATCTGGACACCAAAAAATAAGCTTTTGCTTCACTATGCACTTGTCTAGTGCCTTTGCCTCAGTTTTCTCCTTTTGCAAAGCAGAGCCAGCATTAGGGTGAGGGCAAGATGGGTAATTGCCTCAGACATAAAACTTAAGTTTTACGGTAAGAGGCAGAAAACTCTGTCCTCAAAATAAATAATATTTTAATGCAATAGTTTAAAAATAAAAATTGTTAAAAAGTTCATAATGAGCAAAATGTCAAAATGTTAAATAAAGCCAGGATCAGACCATGTACTTGCATGAACTGGCTTCACCTTCATCGCGGCCCTGGTTCCAATAAAACATTATTTGTATAAATAGCCTATGAGCTGTAGTTTGCATATTTGGTTTTTAAAAATATTGCATTAAAATATTGCTGATCTTGACAACTGAGGTTTTTTTAGTACTCTCTTAAATTTTGCACCCTCACTTGCCTCTAATCCCCATCCTACTGCAAAGTATCCTTGAAAATAGAGTTGCCAGGTAAAACACAGAACACACAATTAAAACTGAATTTTAGGTAAAGTATGTCCTATGGGATATACTTACACAGAAGGTAATTTGTTTATCTGGAATTCAAATTTAATTGAGCATCATATGTATTTATTTGCTAAATTTGGCAACCCTATTTGAGAAGTATCATATCTAACCCCTCTAATATAAGGTGATATTTAGTCCCATGGCAACATACTCTACCAACATACACATACATTTTATAGACTATAAAAGCAACCCTCCTGAGCATTAACACCCTGTTTCCATATGGCGTTCCTCCTTTGACCTTCTTTCAGCCACTGAGCCTGACCCTAATTGCCTGGCTTTCCTCAGCCTCCAGAAGCACCTTTCACTCAGCGTCTGGAGTAAAACTCATATATTCTCCATCAGCAGAATGGGTCCCATAGGCCTGGCCCTTTCAGTGAGCCCCTCAGCATGTCCAGATCACCCACAGTCCTATCGCTTTACCTGAGCCCCTCCAGCTTTCAGCATCCATTTTCTTATGGGGAGTTGAATTCTTATCAGTGGGGACTAGGGTCAGGGAGAGCAGTGGGCAAACCTCCTGGAGCAGGAGGTACAGCCATCGCTGTGTCAACGGCCAACCCAAAGTGTCAGAGAATGCTAGGGCAGGCAAGACTCAAAGAAGCCAAGTTCAGAAAGGCAGGTGGAGCCAGAAAGGAGAGGAAAGGACCCACAGTGACTTTCAGAGGGCCCCTGGGAGCTGGGGCCAAACCTCAGAGGAAGGATGGGCTTGTTACAGATCAGAAAGAGCTCTTGCTGACACGAGGAAAGACTTGACAAGAGAGGAAGAGGAGTGAAGAAGAAAAGAAATGGGATTCTGATGGGTGGCGTGGGATTCCACACTGACTGAGGAGGGCAGGTGAGTCACAGCTGAATGGCTGAATACAGAACACCACTGGCTTCATCCTGCCATTGGCCAGCTCAGGGGGACTTCTAGCTCCCGCACACACCGGGCTTGCATCAAAGTTACCCGAAATGCTTGTTACACAACTCCCATCGCTGGCCATCGTCCCAGACAAAATCTCTTTGAATTTCTGCCATGAGTCGAACCTTGCATTTAAAACACTTCCAAGGTAGCCCTTTTATACCCTAAACCCAATTCTGATGGAAACCTTGTGCCACGTAAGGTAAAGAAAGAGATACTGGCTGGTCTCTATTTCATACAGGCATCTCTCTGTATCATGGGGTTCCATTCACTCGAATTTAAGGCCAGCTCCAGAGCCTAATAACACCAGTGGGAGTTATTAGGATGACAATGACAGGCGGAAGCAGTGAGAGTTTATACAGCCTCTTTCGTACAGAGAATGAAAAAAAATGGACTTCATGTCAAAGTGGGCATGGTTCATGGGAAGTGTGATGACTACCCCACAGCACCCATCTGGCTTGGCCTCCTCCTCCCACACCCTTCTCAGGGACCACAGCCAGAGCTTGGGCCTCCCGCCTAGATCTCACTCTCCTCAAGACTCTCCTCCATGGTGTGGGCCAGGGTGAAGTCTCCCTCGCTGCTCTCAGACAAGCTGCTGACCCAGGGCCAGGCTGTGTGGCCCTGGTGGGGCCGGGCGCCCGGCTGCCCCGGGCCCTGAACGGTCAGCTGTAGGAGCTGCCCACTGCCAGGTGAGGGCTGCGGCTTCTGTAGCATCCTGGCGTTGTCTCTCTTGGAGAGCCTCTTGGGACATTTCCCCAGGAATCGGAAGTTCTTCTCCAGGACCCAGGCTCTGCAGCCTGAGTGGCGGGCTAGCAGGAAGCGGACCCAGTGTTTCCGCAGCTCAGCCTTCACCTGTCAGGTGAGAAGAGGACAAGTTACTGGAGTCATGTGGTCATGGGTCCACTCAGCAAATATTTACTGAGTGGCTACTCTGAGCCACTCCTGGAAAACTTACTTCTAATTGTGGGAGATGAACAAAGAGGAGCAAATATACGTGAGCATAGCAGTTGGTTGTGACACTGTGAGGCCATTAAGCAGGACAGTGGGGGAAGGAGACAAAAATTTGAGATTTGGTTGAACAGAAAGGAAAAGGAAAGAACTATGTAGAGGTAGTATTTGAGACCTGCCTGATGGATTAAGAAACCCCTGTGTGAACATATAGGAAAAAAAAAAAAAAAAAAACAGCAATGAGCAAGATGGAAGAGGGTTTGCTGTCAAAAAGCTTGTATTCTAGTGGGAAGAGACAGAGATAAATATTTAAACCTGGGATGGGGGAAAGGGAAGATGAAAGGGGGCTGGAAATTCTACCAACTTCTAAAGTCAGTAGAAAACTGTTCTGGTCTCTGTTCCTGTCCATTTCAAGCCTCTTTAGCAGATTGCTGGCTGGGGCTATGCAATGACATTAATAATAAAAATAATCATAGTTACCAGATATTAGACCTTTACCTTGAGCTCAGCATGCCCAGGGCAACACTAGAGATAGGGATAGTTATTATTCCCACTTTACAGGTGAGGAAACTGAGGATCAAAGAGCCATAGTGACCTGACTAACTCAGAGCTTCCAGGTGGGTGAGTCATGGCTAGAATCCAGATTTTTAGACTCTGAAGTTCAAGCTTGTTCTCTTTATCATACCAACACCCCAAACATTTCTCTAGCAGGGCCAGGGTTGGGTTCTGAGTTTCCTTACACTCATCTCAAATCCTTTTCCCATTCATCTAAGCAGCTTCCTATTTTCTACTCTGGAACCTCACAGTACAGATTTGTCCCAGTGCATACTGGTCACCGCACATTCCCCCATGGCACCATCACATAAACAGAAACCTCCGGGGGCAGGTTTCTGTTTATGTGATTCTAGCCCAGCCTCTCAGGAAGCTGGAATGGCAGCATAAAAAACATACCTCTCCATTGGCAAAACAATACTGCAAGGCCACAAGTAGTCCCTGGAACAAAAAGAAGAGGTAGCATGAGACATAACTCAGTAGGAGATATGTCTGAGAGCTACTTACAAAGTCCAAAGGCCTGCGCTAGTCCTAGCAGCCCCCAAGAGAGGCAGGCAACTACACTGCTTGCACTAACTAGAGTTAGTAATACTAATTAACCTGGATTTTTATGAAGTATCTTCTTACTTTGACACCCATCACACATATCAGCTTAGGTGTTTGCTTAGGTGCTCACAAGTCAATCATGATTAAACCTCAAAGACCCTATATCGTTCATTCAACTATACAAACACTGTGCAAAGCCACTGTCCCATTTCTACTTGTCCATAGTAGACATTGGCTGATTTTTTTTTTGTGTGTGTGTCTCACTTGCATCTTTTCCTTTTGGAAACTGACCTACCCCTGCTCTTTAGGCTTCTGGCAGGCTCAATCATGTGGTCCCCATGTTCTAGGATGGCCATCACCACAATAATCAGCACAAATGGTCATGTGACCCACACAGGGCCAATCTGAATTCCTTTCACTGAGAGAGAAAAGAAGATGCACCCTCTTCCCTGCATTTCACAGTTGTTTAGTCAAAGTGGGCCTGGAGATACTTCTGGGCATCTTCCCAGTTACATGGAGAGAGCCTGTCTGAGGATGAAGCCAACAGAGAGGAAAGCTGAGGCTAGAGATAGTGAAAGACAGAATTTGAGTACCTGGCTGATCTTGAAATTTTCATTTATCTGAGATAATAAGTACCCCTTTCTCTTGTCAAAATATGTCTTTTTTTAAAAAAAATAGATAATTTCACACAGAAGGCACTAAGGCGATCTGGGCTCTGTGTCACTGACTTCATCTTGTACCACGATTATATATTCCAGCCTCACAGGTCTTCTGGCTTCCTCTAGCATCTCACCCTCATGTATTAGTTATCTCTTGCTATATAACTTAATGGACCAAAATAATAAAGATGTATCATCTCACATGCTTTCTATGGGCTTAGCTGGGTATTCTGGCTCAGGAACAATATTCAGGCTGCACTCAAGATGTTGATTAGAACTTCAGTTGTCTGAAGGCTTTACTGGCTTTCGGGATGGCTCCCATGCCTTGTAAGTTGGTGCTGGTTGCTGGTTAGAGGCTTCATTTTTCCCTCCACGAAGTTGCTTGAGTGTCCTCATGACAAGCAGCTAGCTTCCCCCAGAGGAGGCAATCCAAGGAAGCAAGGCCCTCAAAAGGCACATACCTTCATGTTCACACTACTTTAATGGTCACATAGGTCAACCTTATTCAGTGTAAGAGGGGACTACACAAAGCCTTAATTACCAGGAGATAGTGATCACTGGGGGCCATATTGGAGACTGGCTACCACAGCTGATTTCTTCCTCAGGTCCTCTCACACTTTTTGTTTCCTGAACCATTCTTCTCTCAAATCTCTGCCTAACAGGCTTCTCAAAACTCAGGCCTTACCTTGAATATCACCCCAAAGTGAGGTCTTTCCTGACTACTCAACTTCAAATGGCCAAGCCAGTCACTATCACAGCTCTCTATTTTCTATTTCCCATAGCACCAGAATTATATTGTTTATTTGTCAGTTTGGTTATTATTTATCCCTCTCCCCTCACCAGACAAGATGAGCATCCTTATGTAGTCCTTTCACTGCCAGATGCCCAGCATCTTAAACAAATGTCTAGCACTTAATAGGAGCTCAACAATATTTTTTTGAATGAATAACTGAGTGAGTGAATGAAGGAATGAGTTGAGTTTCTGTCACTTATCACTAAAAGAGTCTTGCCTTGTACAATGTCAGACCACTTATAAAATATGTCGAGATAGTTTCATTCTGTTCTCTTCCAAGTAATTTAAAATTGTGAGCACAAGGGTCACAATGAAAATAATAGGTCACCTTTACATGGCATTTCAATTACAAGGTATTTGTGTTGGGGAAGTTTAAATAAAGGGATCATCTCTTGATGCTGGGAAAGTTTTTTGGATTTACTGCTTAATTGCCAGAGGTCTGGAATCAAGTATGCTTTAGTTAATGTTTGTTTCCACTGTTTTTCCAGACTTCTACACTTCCTGATATGTTAAACAGTCATATGTGATCATTTCCATGCCATTGCTTTCCCTGTGATGTGGGGATCTGTGGGACTTGTGGTGTGTGTCTGATATATTGAGGCTGAATACGTGTACAGCACCCAAGTACTTGAGCGTTTATGGGAAAAATCTCATAAAATGCCGGCACTCACAAGGAAAAACACATTCCAACTAAAGGGTGAAGGTCACAGTGCAGGCCGACTCTCCCATTTCTCTTAATAATATTTCTTTCACCCCTATTGCTGGTAAGAGAGGTTTAGTACTGGTCAAAATGATGAAATTGAAAAGGAATTAAAA